GCACGCAGCCCTGGTCAAAGGTGTAGGTGACCAAACCCCTGACCACAGCCAACCTGTCCCTCACCGAGAAGTACGGGCGCAGACAGGCCACCTCCTGTGACTTGTGGGGGTGCCAGTCGCCCGCCAGCACCCTCGACACTAGAATCTGGTACACTGGGTCGTCCGCCGCCGCTTTGCACACTGTGTCTTCGTCCATAGTGATGCACCCATCCTGATCCAGTGCTGCGATTGTGACTGCACACACTGCAGCGCACAGGTCCTCCTCTTGGTCCATGTCCTCCGCATCAGGCGCCGCCCTGAGGGAGGGGAAGCGGGATAGGGCGTCAGCTGCACAGTTCCGCTTCCCTGGCAAGTATTTGACCGTGAATCGGTACTGCAGGGTCTTCTCCTTGAGCCTGAACAGGCGCGGATTCGCCACATCCGTGAAGGCTCTGTCCCCTAGCAAGCCAACTAAGGGGCGGTGGTCCGTCACCAGAATGAGGTTCGGGCAGCCAAGGAGGAACAGCCTGGCCTTGCGCAGGCACCACACCACAGCCAGGGCCTCCCCTTCTACTGCAGCATAACCGGCCTCGGCCGTGCTCAGATGTCGGCTACCACACAGAGCCAACCGCCACCCTCCTCTGCAGCAGAAGGGCGTCTCTGGAGAGGCACAGGCACAGTATTGTTGCAGGACGACGAAGCCGATGCCCTCCCTGCTCCAATCAGTGACAGCTGCCGTAGGCCTGGATTTGTCGTAGTACACCAAGCCGTCTCTGGCCAACTGACAGATGGTGTCCTGGGCCTGGCGAAACTTGAGCCGCAGCTGGTCGTCCCAATACACCTGCTTGCCCACTGGCTTCTTGAGGAGCTCACGGAAGGGCTCCATCACAGGTGCAGTGGCAAGGAAGGGAGCCAACTGATTAACCAGGCCATGCCAGGACCTGATGTCAGTGATTGATGGCTGATCCGGCATGGGGAAGTCCTTGATGGCTGACAGACGTTGGGCAGTGGGCTGGTACAGGTCCCACCCCAGGAGGAAACCCACAAACTCAGCTTCTCTCCTGCAGAACAAGAACTTTTCTGGTTTCAGCGTGATACCTGTGCGAGCGCAGGTCTCCAGAAAATCGTAAGTGTGCCAGAACGCCCCCTTCACACTGGAGTCATAGAGGAGAGTGTCATCCACGCACTTGTACTTGCGGGGCACATCCTGAATAGCGTCGTCAAACCTCTTGGTGTAAGCATCTGACGCTGAGCAATGTCCCATGGGCGTCCTGCAGTATCGAAAACGTCCCCACGGCGTGATGAATGTGGTCAGGCGTCTACTCTCCTCCTCCAACTCCACTTGATGAAATCCCCAAAAGGCGTCGGCGACGGTTTTGAACGAGTGCACTGGCACCCCAGACACCATGTCGAATGGTGCAGGTGTGTGGTGCGTCTCCCTCAGACAGCTTGCATTGAGGCGTTGGAAGTCCACAGTGCGCCTGGGCTGACCGTTTTTCTTGGCCACCACGACCATCCTGGCGCACCACTCCGTAGCCTCACCAGCAGGCACTGGCTGGATGACGCCTCTCCTGACGTCCTCCTCCAACTGGGCCTTCACCTCCGCTTCCCAGTGTTTCGGAACGGGAGCGGGTGTGTGACAGGCATAGGGGGTCGTGCCGGGCGTCAGGTGGATACGGTGAGGGGGACCAGTCATGACTGGCAGTGGGGACCTGCTGGTGTTGAATGCGGTAGACGAAAAGTGCGTGAGTAGCCATGCCTCCAGCCTGGCCACATTCTCCTCCAAAGGAGGCAAGGGTATCTCAACTGGCCTCGGCGGGAAACGGCTGCTCTCAGGTAAACGGTTCGGAGGTAGATCGTCGGCAGTGTGCCGCTCCCCTCCATCGCCCACGGCAGCCACAGCACGTCTATGGAGCGGGAAGTCGACAGGCACCAAGTTGAGGCACTTGCAGGCCTCCAATGACAGATAGAGGGCCTTGGCTGTCTGCACGAAGTAGACCTCCTGGACGGTGGACCCCTCGTCCACACCGAGGCGGCAGGGGGCGGACCCCAGACACTTGAGCTGTTTGTTCGCCACGTCCCTTAAGCCATTACGGGCCCGAAGTTGCCCCGGACACAAACCGATGTCCCGGAGCAGGGATGCGCCTGCCACACACACCATAGCACCCGTGTCGGCTACAGCCAGCACAGGGGTGGCGGGGGAATTGCCCCCGGCCTGGGACACGAACACTTGTAACCTGGGGTGGCGGGATAGCTGGGCTGTTGCCACTGTAACAGCGCCTGACACATCCACAGGAGCACTTAGGGTTGACTTACTCCTACAACACCTTTTGAAGTGACCAACCTTACCGCAATTGCGACATGTAGCCCCACTTGCAGGGCAGTTACTTTTACCAGGTGCATGTGACACGCCGCAATTACCACAGTGTCCTCGACTTGGGTGTGGAGGTCGGGCGGCAGCTACCTCAGGCTCACCGGTGACGTCATCACCACCCGCCACTGCCTCCGCAACTGTTCCCACCACTGCCTGGCCAGACGTACGACACAATACACCAGCATCTCTCACTGCTGCCTCAAATAACATGCATTTGTTTCTAAGCACTTCAACACTATTATAACTAGAGTACCCCTGGAAAATTTCCCTTTTCAACACTGGGTTACTCAGGCCCACCATAACTTTACGTAATAGCATGTACTCAGAGAGGTCGTTATCACAGGTGGGACATTTAAATTCACACTCCACTGCTTCTGAGAAGCATCGTTGAAAATACCTTTTCATGGGCTCCTCTTCACCTTGTTTGCTGTTGAAAAACTCGTTCCATTTCACAGCTTGGTTTGAAGATTGAAGAACCATTCCACTGATGGCGTCCAGGGCTTCTTTGGGCGAGAGCTGCTCCCACTGACCGCTGGGGTATCTCGAGTCAATCACTCTTTGGAGTGCGGGGACGCAGTTCAGGCGAATGTGGAGTGTGGCCACCAGCTGTGGCCACCCGTTCAGCAGCACCCATGACTCCATGGACCGCCTCCATGTCCTAAACGCAGCTGCTGGCATTTCTGCCTCACACTTCTCTGGAGCGACAGCTGCTGAGGGCTTCATGACCGGCATAGAAGCATGACCACCGCCAGCACCTAGAGACGCCATCTGAGCCATCAATGCACTCATGGCCTGCTGCTGGGCGCGCGTGGTGTTCCCGGCCGGTGTAGAGAAGCCCTGGCGTCCCCTTGAGGGCGTCGAGAATCGTGGACGTGTAGGGGCCATGTCAGCGTTCTTGTCAGGGCTGTAATGGCGTGTCGGGCCCCGACATATCCTACTCACTGTGCGCCATGTGAGAGGTTGGAGTCATAGACCATGTTTTCTATAGACTTTATTATAACAGCGTCAGCTGGGCACTGGCCATCAGGCGCTGCCAAGGACAAGCCCCCCCACTCAACATGGGAAAACATATCGTACGATGGTACACTCTTACAGGTACATTGTCACTCATGCCTTATAAACACATATTTTAATCCTAAATTACACACTAAGGTAAGGTCTTGGTTTGCTAGTTCGTGGGTAAATTCATGGGGTTATAATATCAACGTGGCACCCGAGGCGGGTACATGACACGCCTTGAAACAAAGGCTGAAGGTTCATGGCGGGGGTGTATCAACTTCACTTAAAACTGTAATGAGGGATCCTCCTTTCACACATTGCACTATTTGAATACAGACATAAGATTCTCTGATCACTGTACCTGTCGTGGGTATATGTCACGTGAGGATACGAGGTGTATTAAGTCCATACCAACGCATACAAGATATTTCCTTTCAAGTATAGTTTCTGGATCACTTCCAACACCTCACATAGTTCTGATACATTTATCCTTTCTCCAGATCATTGTTCTCATGTATTTTTATATGATATCTGTGGAAGTTATGTTCGCTACACGCTCACAGACGTAAATAGTATGACCTTCAAACCCTGATCCACACTTAGTCCTACAGTACACTAGTCCGGCTCAACTGGACTTTAACATTCATCTTATGGATACCCTGAGTTCTCCTTAATGCTATGAATACATACAATTAATATGATATAACTGTACCTGGGTACAATACAACACATGGTCTAGTAACATTGAGTAGGTGAGTTATCCTTTATCAATGTTTCCCGTTTTCTGAGATTCTACAAGCGCGGTGGATCTTAATGTTATATAGCGTAATATGACTTAAATGGGGTTTTTAGGAATGACAATGATGTGCGCAGTACACTAGATTTATCAAAACTTAAAAAGCCAGATCACAACTGATTTTCCTCTGAAAGATTATGAATACAAAATAATTCTCAGAGTTGGAAGTTTTTCTAAATTTGTCACTTTTTTCACACAAATACACATATGAATCTGTAGGTAATGTTCATTCATAAGATCATATAAATTTTCAAAAGTGTTTAAACTTCGTAATAAAATAAACGTATTCAACATATGTCCGGCTGGGTTGCTTTTATGCATTCCTAAATATAATATAGATTTATTTGACCTCTTTAACTTTGGGACGGCTTTTATCATTTGAAGCAAACTACAGATTATGAGACGCTTTATTTAACATCATGACAAGTATCGCCACCAGAAAAGGAACAAAAAATACATTAATTTCACACAGAATCTAAATAAGTTTCACACTCTTTAAGTAAACCAGGCAGCATTTAAGTACTCCATTTCGTATATAAGTACCACCAACATATAGGCTTTACTAACGTACAGTATTGTTAGTGAATATAGTTACAATACTTTATAGTTTGTAGTTCTGAAATATATCTGTAATTTGCTTTAGTTATCCCAGGATCTGTAATTTTCTTTAGTGCCCGAAGAATGAAGTAAAATTTTTTTCTAGTTAAAATCGTGAATTCCTTGTTTCTCAGTTATTTGACACCAAAAACTCATTTAATTTTTATAGACTCTATTATATGCTAGTATAGTTTTATTTACATGGTAATAGATGATTATTGAGAAGGCGATTTATATTTTAAACGTGAAAAAAATAATAAGGAGGTTAGCGCCATCTATGACTTAACAGCGTTACTAAGCTCTCACCACGGGGGTTCAGTGAAAAGTTTCTCGTCTGGTGATTTTAGAAGTCCTTCACCAGCAGGAACAACACTTGACAGGGAACCCAGATGAAAATAATCGCCTGGGGCATCGGTAAGAATTTTAATAGTAGTATTATATCATATATGTAACATTAATAATACAAAGTAGTTATTGGTATATTATTATGGTGGGGCAAAGTATTTTTAATGGTTAATTTAGTCCATTGTGTTGGGTCGGCCAGCGGTGACTTACTGTAACTGATTCTGTAAATTTTCACTTGTTGTCACTATATGAAGTCAAAGTTTAAAGTTTTTCTGGTGGTTTTTGATGTGTTAAGAACGAATTTGAATTAATTTCTGGCTCAAATATGTACTTGTAGTGCAATGTTTGTGGGACGGAATAACATACTTATGTAATGAGATGCAACCATTTTAAAATGCTGCACTACATTTCCCTATTTCACTGCACTGTCCAACAAGATTTGTATAATCTTGTTTTGTAATCATAGATAAAGCTAAAATGCATGGTATATATACTAATAGGTATGGAATATCTCTTGAATTGGGTGTAAGTAATCTTGGGTATGACTTATCTCGGGAGTTGGGTACAAGTTGTCTTGGGTATGAGTTAACTTTTTGGGGGAACAATTTATCTTTGGTACAATATGTTAAATATCTTGCATAAATATAATTTGCGCCAGAAATGTCATTGAAGAAAAGTGCCATACAATTGTTAAAATTACTGATTGCAACTATAAAATTCCCGAGATTCGTTTAGTGGCAAGAAGTGAAATAATACCAAAATTAGGTGGTCAATTTATAGTCTTAAACTGGTCTTTCTTTCGCTGTTATTTATATGTATTTCGTTATGTTTAGATAATTTTAAGACATTTTTCGTCTGTGATATTTCCACCTATTACATTTGCTCGGTCACAAGTTTCATGTCTTGTTTACTTTTGGCAGACAAGTTATTTGTTTTACTGTTTATTTTCATTAGTGAGTACTGATATCATAATCTTTTCTTGTGCAAATGCTTCATGTGGTATATAATTAGGCGGTAATGCTGTGGTGACCTCTCATTCCAGGGTGTAAACAGTCATTTCAACCCTCTGCTGCCTGGGCTTGGTCAACAGTCTCAACACTGATACTTGGTGTATACCTAAGTACAGTTCAGTACGGACAGCTGCTCTCACGTCCACAAAAAAATTAAAATTACACCATATCATAGTAAGTTCTTTCTGTTTAATAAACCAGGGGGCTGTTAGGAAGTCAGGTAAGGTTAGATATGTTAGGTCTAAAAACAATGCTTCTGCTGCTTGTTTTTCATATCAACAAAGGTTAGGTTAGGTTTAATTTAGAAATAACCACTTTTAACACATTTGCACAAACTACAACAGTGTTCACTATAAAACTCGGTGAAATTGCGGTGTTTTTGTAATTATTTTCTATGAAAAATCGGCCAAGGGTCATTCATAAATAAGTATCAGTGTAAAAAGTGGAGAGTTTATAAGTTTACACCGGACTTTCTTATGCTGTTATTAAAATGTATTTCGTAATTTTTAGACAATTCTAAGACATTTGTCTTCTATGATATTTCCACCGGAAATTAAGGATAACCGTGATATTAATTTTTCAAGATTATTACTTTAGCTCATTCACAAGTGTCACCATGTCTTGTTTACATTTGGCGGAGGAGGTCTGACACCCGCTCACACATCGCTCCAGACCTCCGTGTTCACTTCTTAAGCGTCTAACAGCGCATGTGAGGTGGGAGCCTGTTATTGGCTATAGCGATTTGAGTATTTTTATTGGGCAAGATTTTTTTGTTTTAGCCAATGAACAATGAGTGGGTGGGTCGGGAGCAGAAATTTGAGTTGGAAGAGCTGTGCCGACATTGTAAGAATGATTATTTTGCACCAATTGCAGAGTTACACCAGAAAAATAGTGAGGCATTTTTTTTTCTTTTTTTAGGAAACACGGTGTATTACCGAATATAGTTCTTTGTCCAAAGTGTAATAACCAGTGTACACTGCGTGAAGAACAGCATATTTGGTGGTGTCACAATAGTTTTACAGATTAAGGTAAGATGTGGGGGCATGAAGAATAGGAGGTTAGTTTGGGTAAGGTTAGGTTTTGTTGGTTGGTTAGTACAGTGAACCCTCACTTTACGCGTTTAATTCAACCCACGGTGGCCCGCATAAAGTGAACAACATAACATATGGGATTAATTGAAATAGAGACCGGGCCGACCCCCAAACTCCACTTTTTCAGACACAATACCTACGTTGTAGTAAAAATAACTTCTTAATTTTATGATGGTATGCACACACAATTAATAATTAAGAGAAATATCAATAATATTAGGTTTTTTAACACTTACATTAGTAGAAAAGATGGCTGGGCACACGGGGATGGGGGGTTGGTTCCGAGGCAGAGGGCAGATTATTGGCCCTCACCTGTATCACTTGTATCAATTGTATCACTATCCACCACAGAGGCTTGCAGGGCCTCTTTGTCAAACCCCTCAAAGTCCATATAAGTCCATATCCTCACTATCATTATCACTATCACTGACTTGGGCCGGCTGTGGTGGGTGGCGGGTGAAGAACTCGGTAATGTTTTGATGACCGGGCGACCTTGTGCGCACCCTGCTCACGCCGCTCTCTGCGTAAAAGGGTACACACACCGCGGAAAGTGAGCATTCCGGTTTCGGCAGGGTACCGCGTAAACGTGGAAACGCGTAAAGTGGGACCGCGTAAAGCGGGACCGCGAAAGCGAGGGTTGACTGTATTTTATTTATTTGAAAAAGAAAGAAAATCCAACTTTTTCCACTATGATTGTTAGGTGGGGGGGTCTAAAAAAATGATTTCCGGATTCAAAACTTGTCAAAAACCATAGGAAAAATTTTTTTTAATATAAAAATAAAGTCTGGTGTGATACTATCAATTGACCTAAAAAGTTGTCATCTCTTATAAAAAAAACTTACTATAATGATAAGAATATGTGGAAAAAATGAAAAAAATCGAATAGCTCTTTCTGGTGGTAGTCGTGTTCTTAGAAAAAAATTAAAGCCTGACCTAACCTTTGTTAACCCAGAGAACTCCCAAATAGTAAAAAAAAAAATATGTTTAACCGATGGCAAAAGAAACGGTGATTTTATTAATGTTTTTCGTGTTTTCAATGTTTTGCCAATAGGGTAATTTATTTCTTCGGCATTTAGGTCACAAGGGAGGCCTAAGTACATTTAAAAAAAAATTTTGTAAATGCATAAATCTCCCGATAAATGTGTGTAGTGCGTTTAAAGTCCGTCAATAGTAATGAATCTTGCTCACGTCCACGAAATGTAAACACAATTGGTTGTGTATGAAACCAGGTTTACCGATTCAGTTTTTGCGTGTATCACAAAAGGTTATGTAGGTTTTTAATAGTTTATTATTATTTTTGTTTAACTTCTCATGTTCAAAGACCTGGCCACTTTCAGAGATTCATTGTTGTTACTAGTGTTAAAGGAAATAAAGGTCATATTTATTTACTGTACAAGTACAGTATTAGAAAAACTACGAAAGAAAAAGTGGCAAAATTATCATCCCGGTCATGCGCATATTTTCGGAAGGTCAGAATCGTTTGAAACACATAAAAAAAACATTGGAAAAACTGAATTTCAACCTAACGTAATTTAACCTAAACTAAACCAAAATTTGCTGTATGGCCGAAACGATAATAATACCGAAGAACCTAATTGAGTAATCAATTTCTCAGTATGGTATTAAACAAATAATTACCCACTATAATAAACAGTATGCCTCCCAAGCTCGCGGATTTTTACTTTGCGATTCTCGGTTATTCGCGGATGGCACCCTGGATGTACCCAAGAATATCTGTGTGTAGTTTTAAAGTTGCCTACATTTTTGCGGCTGGAACAGGGATCCATTCGTTCTAGAGACAGTAATTTCCTTTGCCTGTATTGTAAATATATGTGTGTATGTGTACATACACACACAACACATACACAAATAATACCTGTAATTGGAAAATCCTCTCACAAATGATCAGAAACAAATTTATTAAAAATATAACAGTCTACCCTCAAGTCCATGCTCTATTACTTTATTAATAGAGCACAGACTCGAGGGTAGACTGTTACATTTTTAATAAATTTGTTTCTGATCATTTGTGAGAGGATTTTCCAATTACAGGTATTATTTATTTGTATGTGTTTTGTGTGTGTCCACACACACACACACACACACACAATATACTACAGGTAAAAGAAATAATTGTCCTAAGGGCAAACACAAATGGAATATACATTTCTTTGGACACAAGTAAAAAAAAAATTATGGGGATTAGCCCACCCGGGCACAGGTCACTGACCCACATTGGGGTCTGGGGGCGAAAATTTAATAATAATAATAATCAGTGGCGTATGGTGGGAATTGAAACCGGGTGTGCTGAGCATTATAATAAGGTAAAGACTAAACTTTAAGTTGTATAAAATAAATGACATACAGTATAGTCTGCATATACGCGGTCAATTGAACCCGTGGAGGTCCGCGTAAAACGAGAAACGCGTAAATGAAGTAACAGAACATATGGGATTACAGTAATTGAAATGGAGACTGGGCCGACCCCCAAACTCCACTTTTTCCGACACAATACGTACCTTGTAGTAAAAATAACATCTTAATTTTATGATGGTATGCACACACAATTAATATTTAAGAGAAATATCAATAATATTAGGTTTTTTATCACTTACGTTAGTAGAAAAGATGGGTCGGCACACTTGGATGGCGGCTGGTTCCAAGGCAGAGGGAAGATTAGTTGCCCTCCGGTGAGTCACTTTCACTACTCGCAGAGGTTTGCAGGGCCTCCCAGACAAACCCCTCAAAGTCCATATCCTCACTGTCACTGACTTGGGCTGGCTGTGGTTGTGGTGGGTTGCGGGTGAAGAAGTCCTTAATACTACGTTGACGACTAGCATTGATGTTGTCGAAATAGATCTGGATATACGGCTCCATAACTTTCGTCAGATGGTTATTAGACTCTTCATACCGATGCTTGTCTGGGTCGTTGTCAAGGATGAGCTGAATTTTCTCCCCCTCATGATTTCCTTCACACAATCATGGCTTGGTCCAGGTAATTCAGGGTTTTTCTCGGGTGGTGGGGGTCCAGCGGAAGCCATTATGAGGGAAATAGCGGGCACAAGAGAGAACTGTATACGTGGACTGAGAACAATGAGACTGGCCCGGCTAGGTCAGCGACTTCTGGTGGCAGGGCACGTCATGGTACATTAGACCAATCACAGCTAGCGGCGGAGGGAATGTGTGGGTGGTAAGGATGAGTGCCCCAATCACAGTCCGATACGTCATATGACGTCAGCGATAACGTAAGAGCGGCCTAATGCGCACCCCTCACCTCGCTGCTTCCCGCGTATGGTCAAGAATGGACCACGTGGGTAAAAAATGGCACGGCGGTCTGGACCTCTCCAGCCACTCGCCGCATAATGATGAAATTTACCGCATAATTAAAACATTTCATTCTGGCAAGGCACCGCGTAAATGACCAAACGCGTAAACAAAAACTGCGTAAATCCAGACTATACTGTACTTATAAAAGGTAGTATACTACTCATATAAACAGCACAGAGAAATGCAAAATAGAAGAAATTTATTGTAGAAGTGTACATACATTAGCAGTGCAATTTAAATAAAAATATATTTTACTTACCCATTTTATTTATACATGAGTCCTATTTTTCTTTTTTGCGATGTAAACTGCATTATAACGTCGTCATAAAAGGAGCTTCTTTGTCTTACTTCTGTGAGTAAATTCTTTTCAGCAGTATTTCCCATTGTGTAAGCAGGGTGAAAATGATGTTAAGTATCGAAATTAAATTGCACAGTGAGCTTTAAATACTATGTAAATCAAACCAAAGATATATATTTTCACATTCACAGTAGTGAGTAAATGGAAACAAAGTACGGAGCAACACTTCCTCCACTGCGGGTCTACCATTAGTCAATAAATTATGCTTCCAATATCTCCCCAGGTTGTAGTACCTCCCTGTTTGGTAGCTGCCTACTACTTGCTACCTGTAACCCCCCCTGGTCTGCAGATGTTATTCGCGGATTTGGCGATTTGCAGCCATTTTGAGAACCTAACCCCCACGAATTTGGGGAGCCCCCTGTATGAAGTTATTTGATAGATTCCTGACTGGGACCTGCTGGGATTGTGTATGATTTTAATGTTATTCTAATCAGGATGATTGTAAGCATTAGACTAGTCTTTACACTATTATTTAATTGTAGAATTGTCTGTGGCAAAAAGTACAGTACAGTATTAAGTTACATTTTAGATTCTGGTCAAATATCCAGCGATATTCAGTCGGCTACTGGTCAAATAACCTCTGCCTATAGTATAATACTGTACAGTAGTCTCAGTGTTGTGTATTATAAAGCGATTGGTCACATTTTCAGGAAGCTTCAAGGACCAACAACACATCTCATTATGACTAGTTCAGAGTCAACTACAGTACACAGACACTCCAGGCTCCTATATGATGCCATTAAAGGCAACTGGTTAAACATTGCTGACCTGTGGAAGGTAAGACTTAATTTCTATTACTTCACATCATGTTGTTGTCATTAGGTGTACAAGCTGAGTCTGTTAATTGTGTGTATGTGCACTTGTACAGTATTCATATAAAACTGTGCGTTTATGTAAATGTTTGTTTGTGTAGAGTCGTGTCCTATTATGTTGGTGTTACAGGACGTCCAAAAAATGGCCCGGATTCACTTTTCCATCCCATACAAAATTCTGAATGTGTCTTTATTTTGTTTCTCTTTAAAGTACTGTATATTAATAACTTTTTGCTTCATTTTCTTTTACTTTATTTTTATTTTTATCCTCTTCACCACTGATTGGCTCGTTAGCTGCTTGGGCGATCGATCGTGTCTCTGTTACGCACTGATGACAAGTAATGGGCATGCACTGGCTCCTGAATTTATCTGAACCTGCTCCAGTGTTGGTCAAGTCTGGTCTTGAAATAGCTCACACTCGCTGTCGTCACAATACTCTCTGGCAGATTGTTCCAAGAGTTCACAACTCTCACTTCGAAAAAGTTACCCCTCACAGTTTTCTGGGCTTGCGGCTTCTTTAATCTTGAGCTGCGACCCCTTGTGGGGTGAGCATCTGCCAGCTCCAGGTAAGGGCACTCGACTGAGTAGTGCCCTTGAGATGTTTATACACCTCAATTAGGTCTACCTTTGCCCGTCTGTAGTTCAAACTAGGCAAATTCAAGCGCTCTAATCTCTCGGGGTAGCTGAGGTGCCGTAGTGCAGTTACCAGTCTGGTGGCCCTCCCTTAGACATTTTCAATCAACTGACAGTCACTGGCATATCTCAGGGACCAGACGGGCTGACCATACTCCAGATGGTGAAGCACTTCACTCTTGAAGATCGTTACGAAATAGGTAACCCCCCCTGGTCTGCAGAGCGTCACAGCGTCCCCTGTGTTTGTTAGGCTTCCACAGCATTTGTGCGTGTTTAAGTGTTTTTGCTCTAAATACTGTACTCTAACCATGAATGAAGTGTAAATCATGAATCAATACTCGAAATCATGAATCAAGAGTCAAATTAATGAATCAAGAATCAAAATCATGATTCAATAGTCGAAATCATGAATCAAGGGTCAAAATCATGAATCAAGAGTCAATCATGAATCAAGAGTCAAGTTCATGAATAAAGAGTGTAAATCATGAATCAAGACTCAAAATCACAAACCCATAAATAACAAGGGTTACTGTAATTTATCCTCTTAATTACAACATACTTTTAAAGATATTGTTTGGGGTTATTTGTGGTTGGTAGTTGCGGAGGGTTTCCGAATTCTCCGCTCCTTGGGGACGAAAATTTCCTACTTTCACAAATTTGAAGATTTTTATCATTATATCTTGTTAATTTTCTTTTGTTTGATTAAATTTTCCTCCTGTAGCCATAGTTTTATTAATATATACAGTACCAGGAAATGTGAGGAATAAATATAAATAATACCAATAAATAAGTTACAACAAAAAATACTGTACAGTATTGCCAAACCAATAAATAAAAGCCAAATGAAAATTTAACACAGACGCCCTTTGCATACACTCCCTGCCTCACCATAGTAATGAAGACCAGCTGGGACGCTACCTCTGCCATCTTCCTGGCAATGCTCCCCACCACACACTGCGTCCTCACCCCGTTCCCCCACTAAGCCAGTTAACTCATGTACAAAGAACTGTATATTCCCTTTATGTGTTTGTCCTTATGGCACATTTATTTTACTTTTTTTCACATTATTTTTGTAGGATGGTGTGTGCATGTATATCATTAAAAATAAATGAAGAAAGTTATGTATATCAGCCCATAAATACAAGATGAAAAACAACCATAACAACTCACAGCTTTGCCCAGTAGCCTGGTGGTTACATGAGTCTAACCTGGCTACAATGCTGCCAGTGATGTTAACAGTTGTAAATGTGAAAAGAAAGTTATTTGTAAATCTTCATTTGTTTCAGGTATTTGTAGATTTAAGATTAAATGTTGCAGGTATGGCATTGATAGATTGTATGCTTGTAAGAGTTCAGAAATGGTTACTGCTTAGCTACCTCTGAAGAGTTGGGTGTCTGCCGTATGGACGTTAATCTTATCAGGTTATCATCGTCAGTACAGTAGTTATAAATCCATCTTTTATATTTATAATAATTTTTTTAATTAATAATGAGTTCAAGTAAGCAATAACATATTTTTAATTCTGGAGTTGGGTTAGGTAGAATCTTGCCTACTGGAGACAGGAACTGGGGATTCATTCGCTTATGGGAGACCACAACTTCACATATGTTCCTGGACCCATAGTTTAGTTTAGGTTAAAGCCCATACAAAACAATAATAATATACCCTTATATAACAAATAATGTAAATAAAGTGATGTTAAACAATATATAATGATGAACATAATGTAAAAAATGGGATTTTAATTAAAAAAATTGTGGTGAATGTATTGGGATCTTGTTCATAAGTGCGTGTGATGGTAAGTCGGACGGTTGTTTACTCAGGGACTGCCTGCATATAAACTATGCTGGTAAAATTATGCTTTTCATCTTGTATTTAGACAATACTGTACAGGTACTATATATGGTGCAGGTAGGTAGGCAGTGATATCTCTGTTAGCTGGAATAATTGCTGCTGAGCATTTCCAGGGAATGAGAGATTTCTGGATAACCAAACGACTCTCAGAGCCAGAAAGAAATCCTTCATCCCTGGAATGTTCCGGGTACAAAAGTACTTGAAAATTTTTCTCGGAATTTTCCAGAAAATTGCCCCTTGGAAAAATTTTTCCCAAAGCTAGAATTTTAAGGAAAATTATAGCTCTGGGAATGATTTTCCGAGAAAATTTAAATTTCTGCTATCAGAGAGTTCCAGTTAAGATGGATTCCGGCTTATGGAGATATTTACACAGTTTGTTATGAAGTTAGACAGTGCAGGTACAGTATACAACAAGTTTAGCCAACAAAGCCATTAGTTGCTAACACTCCTCATACAGTATTACCAAAACAATATCCACTTCTGTGTAACTAATATATGTATATTTTTTTCAGAGGCTGTGGACTGGTCTTTGAACAGTATAGGTGACTTGTACAGGTCAAGCTTACCCCTCCTGACCTGACCTTCACTCACAGACTCGTCTCAGGAAAACTGTTTGAACTATTTTCACTTTTCTAGTAATGTTTTAATCTCATTTTGTTTTATATACCGTATGTATTATGGTGTGAGTTATGTCTGCATTGCCTTGGGGTACTGTACTGCCATCCCACTTGCACGATCGTCTGTTTTATGTGACTTTTACCATCTTAGTTAAATGATCAGCTTAGGTTAAGTTAGGTTACGTTGGGTTGGGTTATGTTATGTTATGTTATGTATCTGTCTATCATCTTTATTGTGGGAATATAGAAATGCCTGTCTTCCATCAGTTCATGCGGCCATTTTAGTGCTGCTCCGTGGATTCTCCCTCAAGTTCAAGATTATCAGTATTTTAATGAAAGGAAGGACTTACTCCTTCCCTGTGTGGTTCATCCTCTCACAGGGGGACTGTCTTTGTTTACACCTACATCAGTCATGTTGAGAGCCTTCACAAAAATAACACCTTCTAGAGACCCCCAATTTTTGGACAGCTGCAGACACAGGTTCCTCTGAAGAATCAACAGTCCCAGAAATAAATGCTGCATAGTTTACTAGAGATGATCCTTGTACATAGGACTCAGAATTCCTCTGAGAGAGATCCAGTGCCCTAGCTTGGTCAAAGGCTGTCTGTAGATCCAGACTCTTATTTTCTAGGAGGTGCTAATGAATCAGTGGTGTCATGAGTCATTGATGAAAGTCTCTTATATAGTCATCCTAGTTCTGTTCTGCTCTAACAGCCTTGAAGTTGTACTCCTTACGGAGCTGGTGAAGTTCCTGTGCGTATTCATCCAATGTTTCACCTTGAAGTTGTACTCCTTACTGAGATGGTGTTTCACCCTGACGTTGTCTTCTTGTGCCCAGAAGATGTCGAGCAAAGATTTCATTCCTGGGCTTCACGTAGAGATCCTGAATAATCTATATTGCAGCCTCATAAGTGTCATTATCGGCTATATATTTGTATACACTAGGAGACACAAAGTTGATGAGGGTGTTCAATATGTCAGGTGTGTGGAATGCAATGGACTAAAGGAAGCTATAGAATGTGTGGTACCAGTGGCACCACTTCCTAGCTGCTTCTGGTGAGTTTAGACTAGAATCCAATCTCTGGCTGCAGACACTTCTCCGTGGTGACTCATGACAGTTAAGATGAATAAATTGCAATGAAACAGAGTTGACTAGTACATAACTAGGCTTTATTCACCTTATAACTGTCCTACAATAGTATCTGAAACAAAAGGATATAACAAAATGAGATTATACAATATTGAAACACAGAAGGATCATTTAAACAAGTGATAAATGATAGTACTACAATAATTATTTATTTATATAACTGTGTAAAACTAAGGTGTTACATCTCCCAGACTTAGATTAGTACATAAGAACAATACAGAGGTAAACCACAGGTCCATATTTGAAAGGCTAAAGGGTCCCTGCAGTAATTTACTTGAAATATAATCCTGATTCTTTGGCCTCTAAGATGGCTGTTGGAGAGCACAAGCTGATGTACAATATTATGATTATCATTATCGCGCCTTCGTCCCCCAGTTCATCCGGACACCCTCTCTCCGCCACATCCGGACCTCTCCCTGCCACATCCGGACACCCTCTCCCCACTAATTGTCCAGTAGTGCGAGAGTTTACTGTACTGTACAGGTACCTACAATAATGATAACAGCATCTGTGAAAATTCAGCACAATTGATTACCACGTTCTAGTGTTGGCCGTCTGCTCCAGGATTACTGTAATATTTATTTAGTTAAATCATCACACAGCTTTACAATATTTCAGCATGTATATAAACAATGCAGGTATACATTTCAGCATGTATATAGACAATGCAGGTATACAGTTCAGCATGTATATAGACAGTGCAGGTATACAGTTCAGCATGTATATAAACAATGCAGGTATACATTTCAGCATGTATATAGACAATGCAGGTATACAGTTCAGCATGTATATAGACAATGCAGGTATACAGTTCAGCATGTATATAGACATGCAGGTATACAGTTCAGCATGTATATAGACAATGCAGGTATACAGTTCAGCATGTATATAAACAATGCAGGTATACAGTTCAGCATGTATATAGACAATGCAGGTATACAGTTCAGCATGTATATAGACAGTGCAGGTATACAGTTCAGCATGTATATACAGTTCAGCATGTATATAGACAATGCAGGTATACAGTTAAGCATGTATATAAACAATGCAGGTATACAGTTCAGCATGTATATAGACAATGCAGGTATACAGTTCAGCATGTATATAAACAATGCAGGTATACAGTTCAGCATGTATATAAACAATGCAGGTATACAGTTCAGCATGTATATAAACAATGCAGGTATACAGTTCAGCATGTATATAAACAATGCAGGTATACAGTTCAGCATGTATATAGACAATGCAGGTATACAGTTCAGCATGTATATAAACAATGCAGGTATACATTTCAGCATGTATATAGACAGTGCAGGTATACAGTTCAGCATGTATATAGACAATGCAGGTATACAGTTCAGCATGTATATAGACAGTGCAGGTATACAGTTCAGCATGTATATAGACAATGCAGGTATACAGTTCAGCATGTATATAGACAGTGCAGGTATACAGTTCAGCATGTATATAGACAATGCAGGTATACAGTTCAGCATGTATATAGACAGTGCAGGTATACAGTTCAGCATGTATATAGACAGTGCAGGTATACAGTTCAGCATGTATATAGACAGTGCAGGTATACAGTTCAGCATGTATATAAACAATGCAGGTATACTGTGTAGTTGGTGTAGGTAGGCCATGGGTGTATATTTGTTTGTTATGAAGAAGGTAGACAGTGCAGGTACAGGATACAACAAGTTTAGCCAACACAGCCATTAGTTGCTAACACGACGTTCCCAAGCGCTTTCGTGTAATTCACATCATCAGGGGTGAGTACAGACAAAGGAGAAATATTGAGAAGGATAATATAAACAGTAGAGGAGAGTGAGATCAAGTCCTTAGGGCACAGCAGGTGTCCACAATGTTCCGGTCATGAGGCAGTGACCCTTACTAAACTTCTTAATTCAATGAAATCGACCATGCCATCTCTAAGCACAGTTGCTGTCCGTAGTCAGGTCATAGGGTAACATGAGCCAACCTTCTCACCTGGTTGCAAATCATTCTTAATCACAGAATTATCCAGTTTGTACTTCCCATTACTCAAATTCATGTTGACAGATTCGGTATGTTTAATGAGACTGGGTTCTATATATATATATATATATATATATATATATATATATATATATATATATATATATATATATATATATATATATATATATATATATATATATGTGTGTGTGTGTGTGTGTGTGTGTGTGTGTGTGTGTGTGTGTGTGTGGCTCATCCGGTATAAGTCACCAGGTAAAGAATCATGTCTTGGTATTCAGATGGAGCTTCTTAATTTTGATTATATTTACATGTACAGCGTGAGAGTGAGCAATATTTTCTATATAACTTATTTGTCAATATTTCGGAGAATTAGTAATAGAAATTGAATCGATCATTTCGTGGTGTTTGTGTAATGACGTGGGTTTCTAAAGACTTTCAGCAAATTGCACTCTGCATTTTCTCTGCATATTGTTACATTGCACATATTTAGGCGCATTAATTATTATTGGGTAATGGCTAAAAAAAATGCATCCTAGTTATAGGTCAAGTATCCGCATAAATGCTTTTGTCAAGGTCCCCCAACTATTCATAATTTTAAGAAGTGTCTATGTTATTTTTATAGACGTATATGACCATAGTGTATTACATGATCAATTATCACGGGAGAATCCAAGTAGACCTGTAGGGGTGGATATACTGTATATATCATTCTGATATCCACATTTGATAAGCTCCCGGCACCTCTTCAATGGTTTGGGCAACACTGTCCAGTGTGGTTCCCGTTATCAGTTCTTGATTAACCTCACTGTGCAGGATTGGGTAGACTCACTTATGGACACATAAACTGCCCCTAAATATGACCACATTGGTGTATCGTTTATTAAGGGGTATTCTCGGAGGATTAAGGTTGTCCTGCTTAAATCTACCTTTTCTTATGGAAGGCCGATTTAGTTTTAAATTAATTTTTTAATGATTCTATGAAGTAAAATCAGAAATAAGAATAAAAATCTGCATTTAGATTCAAAGTTATGACTATTTATTTATAACAGAAGCTGGATGAGCCATCGGTGACATGAAATGGAGCCATGTGCAGTTTCCTTCACTCGTGCCTTTACAGGGGCTTGTCATATAATCATTCCACAAATCATTATCTCTGAGACATTTGTTTAAATATCATTTTAATTTGATTCCATAGTATGTTTACTATTGCTAGTTTCCATTATTCGAATGTAGACAAACACTCTACAAAATCTGACGAACCCCTGTAAACACAACTAGTGAAAGTACTGTGCATTCAGAAAGCTTAGCCCAAAAAAATTATATGAAAATTAAACGCTGAAGGTGACTTTTTTGTGAAAAAAAAGTGTTTGGTACACAAAGTACACAAACATGACCTTTTTGGTGAAAAAACCCCCCACTCAATAGCTAGTTCTCTTGTTTCTCCTTTCACTTTCTGCCATGTGATTGGAATACACTACCTTTAGTGGAATTCACAGTATTTATGTCAAGGTAGTCCAGGGCATACGGTGGTTAAATTCTATTTCATGACCTCATCAGTCAGTGTACAGCATTTTGAATCCATGACATCAATGCATTTAGACTTATAATTGCCTTTTACCTTTTGAGTTTGCAAAGTCGCTACCCATTCCAATTTTGTTATTTCCTGTTTTAAAGTAACCCTTGTTGTGTGTTTTTAAGGTATTTCAACTAAGTCCTACACTTGTTTATGAACATATTTAATATAAACTGTACAACATTTACTACAGCTTGATGAAATATAGAATAGTATTTTTACAAGAAAATATCGTATAAAAGACAATAAGTTTATTTTGTGTTGCTGGTGGTCTCCGCAAGGATTACATGAAGCATTCTCATGCTTGATCATTATTATGTTATTTAGTGATGTGATCAGCCTAGAGTGTCTTCTGAGTATCGTAAGGACAGGAGGATCCCTGGACGGTCTTGACGAAGCGAGTCGTGTCAACATTGATGTTCTTGAACGCAGCTTCACATTTCTTTACATATTGTTCAGCAAGGTTGGCAGAGCGAGAAAAGATGAAGGAAAAGTCGGAATGATATCCGAAATTGTAGTCGATGCAGGAGTATAGGCAGGCGTAGTTAGAGTAGTCTGTCTCCAGGATAACCAACGGGGCGGCGAAGGCTGGCGGAAGGAAGAATAATAATACAATTATCAAATGGTAAGTTATGAATGAACAATAATTGCGATAGGTACATTAAGCATTCTCGAGGTCCTTGAAGGACCTAGGAACTGATGAACGATTTTGTGAGAAGCTTACTCTCGAGCACTGAACACCCCTGAGGATGGTTCTTGCTAACTAATGTCTAATTTTAGGTCTTTTTGTTTTTCTCAGGTGTGTGTGTGTGTGTGTGTGTGTGTGTGTGTGTGTGTGTGTGTGTGTGTGTGTGTGTGTGTATTAGGTTTCTTTAAATTATCAAATTAATAATATAGAATCATTCGTAAACATTATCAAACGTGTCCACAATTAGGGATAATTTAGTAAGGAATATGGAACACTGGCAGTAAAGGCTTACAGTTCTCGTAGTCAATGGAGAGATGGGGTTCACCGAAGGGGTTGGGATACAGTTTCCCATTGCGCTTCAGCAGATTACCATCATAGGCAATGCCAGTCGAAGTAATCACAAACTGCTCTCCATCTGTTGGATAGAGATTGAACACAATGTCACATTTCATCGTTCACAAACAACAGTTTTCTGTCACAAATATTCTTCACTTACTATAAAATAAAATTTAGAAACGATGACAAAGATGGTTAAGAAGATCTTACCAAAGGAATATTCGTTGCGGACACATTTTTCAATCAGTTGATACGGATTATTGGTGAGAGCAAACTGATACCATACACCTGCATACTGAAAAAATGAAAATATTATACAAAAGGAATTATACACACTTAACTATTCATTGTTATACTGAGAGCCTTATGTTTTTTTATTCATTTGGAAGAACAATTATATAT